GAGTAGACTCGACAGCCAACGATGGCCTTTCGGTATCATTGGAACAGCAACAAGATCCCTCAAACCAGAACACTCCTTTGTGTATGGGGTTGATTCGGTAGGATTAATCCCCCCTGCGCTGTGTCGAAGGGAAAATGACAAACTCTTCTCGCGGATCGGTTTCGTTCGGCTGATGGTCAGCACTGCCAAAGGTCGAATCGTGACGGGAAAAGAAGAAGAAGAGCAAGTTATCTTGACGACGAGGGTATCGATCAGGAACCAAAGACCACGATCGAGGGATGAAAGATCATCGAAGCTGCCGGGTTTTTGTTGATGGTAGAATCATCTCAAGGGGGATGTGTTGCGGGCCCGGTACATGTGCAAGCCCCAGGATTGGAATGGAAAAGGCTATTATTCAACTGGCTGCTTTCAAAGACACACTCATATCTACTGAGCGACAGCACAACAATGTATCCTTGGCTCACTGACTAGAAAAGAACTTCTATCAGCACGGCAGCTTCCGCGAAGCCAGAGCAAAGCTTGAGAGAAATGCCGAACCCAGTATAGGCTTTCCATATTACACCGGTGGAGCCTTCGATGGGAAGTGTGTTACGACTACGGATTTGTATATCGACCCAGGCAGCATTTGGACGCCAAGCATAGGACAACAAGAAACCACCTACCAGCTAGCTATCATGCCATTCCCTAGTCAAAACGAGCTCGTTCTGACTAGGAGCATCACTCTCTGTACTCACGAGACAAAGTGATAGAAGATCGTGTCAACTGCAAGGAGCCTTGTCTACTTTGACATGTCAGGTCAAACTCAAGATATTCCTATCTTTTTTTTCTCACCTTATGTCTCCGGATAACAATGGTCGGTCTACTTGTCATCAAATCTCGAAACAAGAAATAAGCTCTATAAGCCAAAGGATGGCTGCCAGCAAGGAATCCACTTTCAAGTTCTGCATAAACCTCCTCTCCTTGCGATATATCACCGGTGAAAATTACCAGAGTGTGGCGCTCCAAGTACTTTGAGGGAGGGGGGCTCGATCGGGCTAAAGTGGCAAAACAGGGCGGCTTTCACATCCGACATACCACAGCGCAGCATTTCGCGAGACCCATATCCACAACTCCATTTTGCTAACCCATTGCGTGAAATATCGCCGTATACCGGTTCCCCGAAAGTTCCCTATCCCCAAAACTGCCCTAGGAGCAATTGGGAAAATAAGAAGAAAAAAATTATGCCCAGAAAAAAAAAAACTGCTCTCGCGGGGGTGGGTGGCTATAGGGAACAGCCCTGGTCTCTTTTCTCTAAGCCTACGTGTTTTGGCATTTCTCTTTTCTTCTGCCATACCCGCTAGGCTCAAAAAGTGCGTTCTTGTATACCCTTTTTTCCCCTTCAAGGTGCGCACCAACACAACCCACAAATTGTCGTGTCATGAGCGACAATTTCATCCGTCACCCGTCTCATTTTCAACCAAGGCCGAGTTTCTCGGAGCACGAGTCAGATTCATTCATCTACGATCAGTTTAGTCTGGGCCATACCCAGACCCAGGCGTCTGGGCTCCGGGTTATTATGGAGCCTATCCCTGGTGACGACCGTTTGGGTTCCAACCCAGGTCGGCCTATGAACGCAAAGGTCCCGATCCCCCGTTCGAATTATCCTGGTAGCTACACTTCAACCAGTGGCCGGGTCAGTAGAGCCTGTGAAAACTGTCGCGATCAAAAGGCGAAATGCAGCGGTCATCGTCCCTCCTGTCAGCGTTGTCAGGATAGCGGTGCCCGATGTTCTTATGGCGATCGGAAACGAGAAAAGATGGTCAAGTGTGTACCGACGCTTCATGGGATCTGTGACCATCATCTAACCAAGAGAGTAGAGAGTTGAAAGATCTATCCGCACAAGTGCAAAGCTATGAAAGCTTGCTACGAGATCTGTACCCACGATTGGACTCGACATCGGCCCAGCACGTTGATCAGGCCCTAGGTGGTCTATTAGTCAGAGTGAGAACCCACGCCCCCTTCGCATCTCTTCCCCTCTCCTCCCAAAATCTTGACCTGAAACCCATTTTCCTATGATATTATGTTCTGCATCCCATTGTTCCATTGTTCCATTGCCATCTATCTCCCTAATATGTGATCCCCATCTTACCATGACCAGTCCCCCGGATTTTTGGCCACTCGATCCGATGCTGGGAGAACAGGAGACCCGCTGCTCACCAGAGACCACACCGAGGAGGATTTTAACCGCGATGAAGCATCCCAGGCCATGGGATTTGTTGGGGAGCATTCAGAGGTGGCATGGTTGTACAGACTTAAGCGCGACCTCGATCAAGGCTCTCTCACCCCCATCGGAGACATCCCCGAACGACCATCCATCTCATCTCTCAATTACTTTCTAGACGATTCGGACATCCCTATCCCTGAAAATATTGACGTTTCAGTTCGACCACCCCAACAGATGGCCGATATGCTCGTCGAAAGCTATTTCCGGACCATTCATCCTGATTTCCCTATTATCGGCAAGGAGATTTTTCTCAACCAATACCGGTCCTTCTACTCGAATCCTAACGTGCGACCCGGCAAGCGATGGACAGCCGTGCTCAACCTCGTGTTTGCCATCGCAGCAAAACACTCCAACCTGCTCCAAAGTCAGCCTCAGGGAAACTATACTGATCATCTGGCCTACTTTGCTCGGGCGTGGCGGTTAAGCATGGGCAGCGTCGCGTTGTTAGACCATCCAAACCTTCAGCAAGTGCAGGTAGAGGGCCTAGCCGCATTTTACCTCTTGTCGACGGGACAGATTAACAGGTGTGTCTACCTTTGATGGCTCTATGCTGATCTTTCTTTTACTTTGGTAGTGGGTTTGCCTAACCAGCCTTTTGTTTCACTTGGTCCTGGCGTACCATTGGGGCAGCAATTCGCTCAGCGGTGGCGATGGGACTCAATCTTCGGAGCGAGACGGAAACTGTCGCCCATCTATCGAAGGAAACTCGATACCGCGTGTGGTGGGCACTATTTGCGTTGGATACCGTGCTATACGTGATGACAGGGCGGCCCCCCAGCACAAGCGACATCTTTTGTACCACGCCCCTCCCCGTTCCATATCGCGAAGAGGACTTTTGGGACGAAGGAGTCACTCAGCTGATCAAAAACCACAAATCACGGAGCAATTTGTTAACATCTCTTCTCACCTCTACCGATCCCACAACCCCTGGGTCCAGCGTGGCCTCTTCGGTAACCGTGTCTTCAAGCACAGGCGCCGAGCAAACGCCCCAGTCGACAATGGAAACCCCATTACCAAATATCTCCCTTTATTTCCTTTATGTGGTGGATTTGGCCACCTTAATGCGGGAGGCAATCGAAACTTTGTACTCACCCGGGGCAGGGACACGGCGGTCGTGGTTGGAGATGGAAGTGGCAATCTCCAACTTCAACACCACTGCCGACGATTGGCTCTCGCGTCTTCCAGCGGAGTTTCAGTTCGGTGAGTTGGACGACACCCGTCCTTTCATCCGTCAGCGCGTCAGTCTAGCTTTCCACTTCTATACCACCAAGCTTGTTATCTCGCGGCCGTGTCTCCGCCGTCTCGCCCATCAAGTCTTCGGCACACCCTCCCCAAGCTCCGTATGCGACATAATGGCAACAACGTGCGTGGAATCTGCACAGCAGATGTTGGATATTCTACCCGAGGAACCCGACGTGAACTGGCCATTCGAAGTTTTGCCCTGGTGGTGTGTTCTGCACTACGTTATGCAATCTGCAACGATAATCATGGTTGAGCTCTTCGCGAGAACTCTACCAGGGACCAGCGAAGCTATCGGGCTCGGGGAGAAAGTTCAGAAGGCTGTCCGCTGGCTCCACGCCATGTCGGACCGAGATCCTTCTGCACACCGAGCCTGGCTTGTCTGTACGGACATCCTTTTTCGGCATGGGCTGAAATTCACCCTGAATATTGACGTCGATTTCTAGGTTCTGGGGCTCACTTTCACCTTTACTCTCTCCCGCGGAATCGGTATCGGAACCGGGGTATTGGGCTCTACGATCCAAACTGGTCCTTCCCACCCTGCTCATTCTGGCTCTCGAGGCTCCGCGTTCGATTTAAATATATGGATAAAGCTCATGCTGATTGCCCTTTGCATGCATATCATGCTTCCTTCTCTCATCATCTCCATTCGCTCCTGGGTGGTGTTACTGTGGCTGAACATACGTTGCCCCATCGTTCTGGATACATTTTGATTTGGCGTGCTGGTCTGGAGTGGGTGGTTGGGCTGACTGGTTTGTATGCTGCCCCTTGGCTTTTTTCCCGCCGAGGTCTAGGTTTTCATTTGTTGCCCCTTGCATACTGTTGGACTCTTGCCTATTCGAAAATGTTGTTAATTCTAGTGCGTTATTCAGCGATATCATTGCGCTCCATACTGAAATCTTGTCCATCAGGTACACTAAAGTAACTGACTGTGTTAAAGCCGACCATTGCTTATCAATTGGCTTGATTGTGCAAAGTATTGCGACTTCTCATTTCTCATTTCGAACTCGAGGCTCGAGAGAAGTAGAAAAACGTATCCATTCACTGGCAAGCCATACATGGGATACATGCCTGACAGCGGCCCGGGGACGCGATAAACACTAACCCACCAACCACGACTAATTATCAAAATTCTTAAATATTTTGCCCCACGCTACCCGCATCGAAACAATAATCTAACTTAAATTAGTATCGATTTGCTCATTCCAGGCAACGGCTTTTTACCTAATTCACCCCAGAGTAGAGGAGGTAATAGCAAAAATTAGACATTATACATCACAAATACCTAGGTACTAACTACCAACGTGGTAACTATGTACTTGCCCTAGTACTCCGCACATGGTGAGACCGGTCCACTAACTCGCCCCAGCCCCCCCCACTTATACCAAAGTAAGCACCCATACTCCCGGGTCCGCTATCCCTGCCCCTACCACTAGTGAGTATCCGTACGGAGCAGTACATAGCTATGTAGTAACCATGTACCCGCCAAACCGCCACATCAGAGCTCATGACAGGTATACAAATTCTCCGCCTCACTAAGAAAAGTATCAACAGGATGCAAAAGCCCCAAATCAATATCCGACTGCGCAAGAAAATCCTGCATCGTCGGCTCCAAAAATGCCATCTGCGTCGTGTACCCGCTGATCGTTTCACGCGGCGGGAACGTATATGGCTCCGACGTTGTATGCATGGATGACGGCGGGGGTGGCGCCAGTGCAGAACCGGCGAGCAAATGTTCATTTTCTGCCGATAGGCCTGCACCTGCACCTGCCCCTGCTGCCGCTGCCTGGGCGGGCGTAGAATGCGAATGGTGATGTGGGGGCACGAGACTGCCAGCTCCACTAGCATGAGTCTGCATATGCGTAAGCGAGAGCGAGGGCGAGAGCGAATGTATGGCAGGGAATGCCCCTGCTGGATTTCCAATGGCATTGCTGGTAGATTCTGTGGGCATCTTTTCCGCGTTGTTGATGCTGACACCGACGCCGACACCGACACCGCTGTTCATGCCAATACCCGCCGCCACGCTGCCGGTGCTGTTGCTGCTAGAAATCATGGCATCGGCGCGTCGCGGTCGAGGTGGTATACCGTGATATGTGTCTCAGGCAAATTTTCACCTGTTCGAGGTTATGGTAGAATTCTGCTGCGGCGAGGTTTCCATTTTCTGACATTGAGCGTAGGAGGTCGAGGGCGGAGTCGAAGCAGCTCATGTCGTTTGGATTGCCGATTGGAACGAAGCTGGACATGGCGAGGATGAGGGCTGATGAGAAAAGGTAGTGGGCGTGGAAGTATCCGAATGTCGGCATTGTGCCGTTTATCCAGCGAGTTAGGATCATTGAGTGGGAGTGTCTTGCAGCGTGGATGCATGCTTCGCTGAGTGTGAGAACTGGTTGGGAGACGGTTGGTTCTTCAATTTGACCAGTTGCGACACCGTTTGGTACTATGCCGGTGGCGGTGCCGGTGGCGCTGTTCTTTTCTTTCTTCTTGTGGAGAGTGATGAGGAGGTGAAGGAGTGTTGGCCTGGTAGTTAGAATAACGCATTGATTAAATGCCATATGGAGCGAGACAATGGGTTTCTTGCTCGACTCGAGATCTTCCATGTTCAGCCGTAGACTCTCGGGGAGGGTGTCAACCCAATGCTTGAGCGCTTTGAGGAGCTTCTGCACGCGTTGGAGAAATGTTTCTTGGTATTTTCGTCGACTGTAGAGCTTTGAGATTGTCTCGCCGACTATTCGGGCCAGTTGGATGTTCGCGGTCATGTATTCTGTATCTGAGAGCTCTTCTTCGTGGCGCCAGCGAGGAGTGATGGGACTCGGCATGTCGACGTGGATGTCTTCGTCGAGGATTTGCATTGGTAGACCCATTTTTGACCCCCACATTCGGTCAAAGATATAGATTGTCCACCATATTTCGATGCGGTGCTGGCGTTCAACGGGGTCGATGAGTTGGGATTCGGGAATGTTGTGATTCAGCCCTATTGTGAGACCCATACGCATTGCATTTCCAATCAGGACGTAGGCTGAGTGTCGTCGGTTGAGGTAGTATGAGAATAAAGACTATGCAGCACATTAACCTTCCGTGAAGAGAAGTCATTAGGTTATTTCAAGTTATAGCCACACTTACAAGAGTCAATAGAGTCTCCAGGTGTGTGATACTCGTTCTCTCGGGAAGAACCTGCACCAAACTCATGGCTTTTGCAAAATATGCGGTTCCAGGAACTCGCAAGCCAGGGCTTGGTTCAGATCGAATCGAATACGCCTGTCCAAACGCAAAAAGGGCAAAGAACTTGCACTTGTTCGCGGTGCAATCAAAGTCCCCTGTTAGATAGATCTCCTCCAGTCTGTCGAGGGTAGATTTGCGCATCATCAAGTGATACAGATATCCGATCTGATGAATCGCAATGCGCACCAACAAGCGCGCATGGTGTAAGCTCGGCCAACGGGCGTCCGTCTCGTTGGCGGCCGCTGCAATTGTCTCCTCACGCTCCCATTGTGTTCGGGGAATATGTGGTGTGGTATTATTTCCTGTGAGAAATCGCCGGAACCGCGTGGCGAAAGCCGAACATGCTGCTTCGCCGATATAGATAGGTGGCGAAGTGGGATCGTAGCGGTGGAACCAGGCACGGTCACCGATGATGGGATTTTGGATACTCGTGTTGTCCGCTGTGTCAGCTGGTCGAGAGGGACCTCTATTTCTCTTTGTTCAGTGTTTGACACTCGTTTTTATTCCACCATCGTAATGAATTATACTATGGCGCAAAACAAGAACTTGAACTGGATAGGGCATACCTTTCTGCTCGTGGAGGCTCGTTGACGTCGGCCGCGTCGGCCGAAGTGACCGATTGTTCCTTCAAGCGCCGATTTTCCGCTAAAATCTGATCCAGATAACTATAGATTTAAAGGACTTTCGTTTAGCGGGGTTCTCCACGGCTCAAATTGCTCGGCGTCATACTTCTCGCTCACTTTGACCTGTCGGTCGCGTGGGGCATAGGCACATTCATCTGCACAGTCGACAGCTCGACATTTGCTGCAGGGTAAGTCGCCAGAGCATTTAATTTTGTGCGCATGGCATCTCTGACAGCTGCGATGGGTGAGTAATTGTTCTGCTCTGGGGTTTGGAGCACGTACGCGACAAACTTCCTTCGTTGCTGGCGCCCGTTCTCTTCGTCTTCGTCCTCGAACAGTGAGCGCCGTTTCAGCCTTACGGATTGTGTCATCTCGTCATTCTCATTGTTACACCCGGGATTGGTCGGTGCGAAGATGTCGGGAAGGGAAGATGCCATGTGGTCGGCGATACTGTCAGATGCGCCGAGGCTTTCGGTTGTCACCGCCGAAGTAACATCGGTCTTTCCACCAATCAGCGCTGTGTTTCGGCGTTGAAGTGGAGACTGGTGAAAGAGACTCTTACATCTTCTTAAATAGTTATCACCGGTGGATTTTGCAGATTGACTCATCGCTCGAAGCCAAAGAAGAGGGTTTTCACGGATATTAGTATTTCTGTCGATCTGCCGTTGGAAAAATCTAGAGACAAGAAGTGTGTATAATATCATAAAATAGAGCTTGGTCATTCAGTAAATCTTGCTTCGGACTTGTTTGAAATTCACTAGATTAATGTTTTCTTTTCATTCTAATGATCTATCTTGTTACTTCATGTCACTCCATATATTCTGGAGTTCAAATTTATAATGCAGCTGTTATATCGCTTTTAAGTTGGTCAAATAATTCATCTCAGATCATCTCAGCTCAATCATGTCGGCTTTTCATCCTCGCCCAATTTTTCTTCAACCCATCTCTGCATATTAATTCCCCATTTCGTAATAGTCCAGACAAAGAACCCGCCGATAAGGGCGAAAAAGACACCTGGGTATTGTGTTAGACCTTGAATCGTTGACTTCCACGGGTTGACAAGCCGGGAGAGAATCTAAACTCACAGATTGTAAATGTCCAGCCCACCCCGATCGAACTGATCAGTGGTTCGACTGCTGCTGTTGCAGCTGCAGCGAAGATGTACTGAACAACGTATTTCCCGCTGATAACCTCCGATCGGAGATGCGGCATGACCTCTATAAAACACGGTCAGTAAAGCTCAACTCGTCATTCTTCCCTAAGGATACATACCAGCTGAATATGTGTTAAGACCATTGAATGTTCCGAGCAACCCAACACCTGCCGTAAACGCACTGATGACCGGCACAGGCATGCCGCCTACATTTTGCTGCAAGGTCCATGCGTAGATCAGTGTCGAAGCAGGGAGTACAACGATCAATGTGATCAGGCCGCTGTTCAGTCGATCTTGAGGTAGGCGTATCCCATTACGTTTGACAATCCACTTTTTGACTGCGCGATCGGACAGTTTTCCGCCAACGACACTTCCTATCAAGAACCCCATTCCTGGCGAGAGGTAGAATAAACCGCTAACGAGAGGAGTAGTCAGGTGGAAACGCGGATTGAAGATTGAACGGGCAGATGTAAGGATCGCGTATTGAAAGGTAGCAAGAAGGCCACAGGTTAGGTGCTACAATGGTCAGCTCTGTAATCGATTTAAAGAAGGGCGAAATAGACATTACTCACAGATAAAAGCACGTTTGGGTAGATGAATGGGCGAAAGATACGGAGAGGGTTGAACATTCTCAAAACATGAGACATGCTTCGCGAATGTTTTGAAGTGGACAGTCTTTCTTCCCCAATTGCTGGCACGAAAAGAATAGACAGAACGAGGCCAAGTAAAGTCATGCCGAATTGAAGCCAGTAGATAATGCGCCATTGGGAAAAGGTGACGATAATTCCACCGATGCAGGGGCCTGGAAAATTATCAGTATATCTACAGGAGCAAATTTCAAGTGGATAAGGGAGCATACCGATGGCAGGTCCACTGACTGATCCAACCATCATAAATCCGACTGCAGTTCCGCGGACAACCTAGCAAATATTAGCCACACTTCTCGAGATGGATGGGGTATATCTTGAAACTAACTGGCTCAAAGATATCAGCAATAAGAGTTTGTCCAGCAACCATGAAGAAAGTTCCAGTGAATCCACTGAGAAGTCGCATGGCGATGAACATGTGCAAGTTAATCGCAACGGCAGTACCCGCCGAACATCCGCAAAGGATGATGATAGCTGCATTGTAAGCCACCCGGCGCCCAAAAATGTTTGTAATGGGACCCCAGATAAATGAAGAGAAGCCCATAGCAATCAGTACTCCAGCATTGATAACATTGAGAATCTCCGTTGTAGTCCCAAACTCGGTTGCGATCTCAGGAGTCGCGGGAAGCAACGAAGTACTGGAAAATGTAACCGCCAATGTCATCCAGCTTGCAACAAACAAAATGAGACTTTTTCTCCAGAAAGCAAGAGCATATCCAGGTGAGGCTGGTGGTGTTGACTTTTGCTCTTCTTCTGTGTCTGAGTCGTGAGGGGAACTTAATTGCGGGGACGGTTTTTGGGACTCCAAATCTGCATCGCCACGGATGTGATTCATTTTGGCGAGGTGAGTTGCGAGGCAATGAGATGGGAAATTAAATGCTAAATTCGTATGAAGATTTTCATAGTATTTCTTTTGGCTTGAAGTGTGTCACAATGAAGAATTGCAAGTTCTGTGAGACGATCACAAATTTCGAGCCTGGAGCAGTTTTGTAGGGCGCGACTTCGGCGACGGCTCAACACGCCGAAGTCCACTCTCAAACCCCACTTCGGGCCGATTATGAGCTCGCCGTTGCAGTTGGGCTGAAGGGAATGTTGTGAGGATGCTCAGATACTGATACTCGCAGATCAATATGTAGTAGCAGATCGACGAAGGTAATAAACTTGGAGAAGAAGCAGGACGTAGATACATGTTGGTGCCAGAGCGGATGCCATTCGATCTAGGCAACCAAAGCAACAATGCCAAAGGTAAAAACCATATTGCATCACAGATCTGATATTGTGATGGTTCCTCTAGCCTCTGAGTCAGGCCTGACTTATTTTAGTGAGTGGTAGTTATGCTGTTCAGTGGTACTACCATGGACTATTTCATACCTGACAAGAGCCTACTTTATTTAAGTTAGTCCATGGTACAAACTCTTGGTCCAAAGTCAATTCATTTGATGGCGATGACTCCTAGTCGGACACCCAACTCTGAAATAGTAGTATACTAGGTTTAGAATACTATTCTATAGTAAATCCTTCCAACTTACTATAGTTCTACTACCGTATACCATCCGCTTAGTACGTGTTATAGTAGTATTTACCCAACCTTATAGTACTAGCTTCTTGATATTTAACTTATCTTTAAGTTTTTGGCCCCAGCTGCTACCCCAGGCCCTAGCAACTCGAATTAGATCTTCCTTCGCAGCACGGTCTAACTTTGCTTTACAAGCATCCCCCAGAGGCTTCAGGGCTTCCCTTCAAGGACGATTGCTCCACGATCGGCATTGCCGTATTGGATAATAGGCGGTGAATATCATTTCTACAGTTTACAAGCATGGATTTGCAGACAATATATTAATTTTGACTCATTGTATGATCCCTATTCAGAAGCATGAATACTAGTATAATCAGTATATACCTAGGTACCTACTAGTAGTTATACATCACTGGCAGAAGGGACTTTTCAGGTTTGCCCGCGTGGGTCTGGATCTTTTCCGCGGTGGATCGCATCGGCACGGGCAGTGACAGCCACCGCGATCGGCCTTCTCATTTACCATCGAAATATTCTCGGCTATTGATACTGTTCACAACCATTTTACACCATCCCATAGCAAACTGCCCATTAGCCATTCAAGACGATGATTTTGTCAAGTTGCTCAGGGTTGATTAGTGCGCACTAGTCCTCCCAAGTTGAACCCGATCCAGGGGTATCCGCATCTCCACCGACCTCGTATTGATGGCCGAAAACTGTTTCGCGGAGAGCCAAGCTTCCTGGCCAAGTCACTAGCCAAGCCATCTACCTCACAGTAGAAATTGAGTACGAGTCATTCCCTAAAATCGAAACAGTAGTAGTAGACAAGCCAGGGCACTCTATACTAGCACTGTACATATACCTAGATAAGCGACCGAATGCTCTGGGCCGAAGGTGACGCGTCCCATCAAACAAAAAATGGGTTCTAGCCACTAGCCTAGAGGCCGCCAAGCCATCGATCTTCGTCGCATAAAAAATGAAATAGAGGGCTGGCCGGAGATTCGGAAAATCCCCCCCCTTAGCTCCTTACCTAACTCCTCCGCCCTGCGCCCAGCTGGCGCCTCTGTTGCAGCTTGTCCATCTAAACACGAACAACCTTGGAAACGACTGACTGTCATGGACGAGAAGGACGGGAAGGATATCGAGACTTCTGCCTCGTCGCCTGCTGACGGTGCGCACGATGCGCACCTCGTCCTGATTCCTAAACCCAGTACCCACCCTCGAGATCCTCTGGTATGTCATGATTGTCGCTCGCGAATGTCCTGGCTATTTAACTCTAGAGCTCACAATGAACAATATGCTCACACAAACCCATAGAATTGGTCCATTAGGAAGAAATATATGATTCTTTCCGTGTTATGCTTGGCATCTTTCTCTGGCGCCATCGCGCCTCTTTCGGGCCAGCTTAACCTTGCGGATCAAGAGGAATTGTATAAAAAGACGAAACTACAAGAGTCGTATGCGGTATGTGCTGATGGCTTCGCTTATACACCTCCTCTCGTACCACAAAATTTCGTTAAAAACTGACTTTGAGGTATAGAACTCTGCTGCATTGGCCGGCATGGCTGCCGGCCCATTCTTCTTCGCGCCAGTCTCACATGTTCTAGGCCGCAGCTCCGTTATTTTTTGGTGTATTCTTTTCACGCTTGTTTGTCAGATTTGGGGAGCTGTCATGACCCACCCGAAAGACTATATTCCGTACATCATGTCGCGATTGTTTGCCGGTTTCTTCGGGGCAGTACCGACAACCCTGGGCCCGCGCATCGTGACCGACTTGTTCTTCCTTCACCAGCGTGGTCGCACCTTTATGGCATTGCATATGGCCTTTCTTTTCGGCACCATTGCCGGTCCAACTTTCTCCGGATTTGTTTCCGCCAATGCCTTCTTCCCTGTTGAGTTCTGGTGGACGGTTGGCCTGCTCGGCTTCACGCTTATTTGCTGCCTTTGTTTCCTTGAGGAAACTGGGTTCGACCGGGTGAATTTCGAAAGAAACCCTGAAATCCCACAAGGCCTTGTTGCGAACCGTGTTGCGACCTTCTTCTTCGGACAACGTGTTGTGTTGCCGACAACCTGGAAGGAAACAGTACGTCTCAACACCTCCTAGCAGCTACCTAATATCCAGATCATCTAACTGAAGACAGGCTAAAATCGGCATCACTCCTTTCCTCATCGGAATCTGCCCCGTCACAATAATCATGGGCATATTCACTCTCATCTCCTTCGGCTTCTACGTCGGTGTCAACGCGCTCACCCCGGTATGGCTTCAGAAACCAGTCGCAGCTGGTGGCTACGGCTTCACACTCAAGCAAAATGCGGCTTTCACCTTCTGCCACTGGATCGGTATTATCTTCGTTCAGTTTTATGGACACTATCTCAACGATCGTATCCCACTTGCCCTGGCAAAACGTTGGAACGGCGGCTCATGGAAGCCCGAGTACCGTCTTCACGTCCTCTGGCTACCAAGTCTAGTCATCAACCCAATTGGATTGGGTATCTTCGGCGCTGCGTTGCAGTATCACCTGCATTATATGGTGCTTGCGTTTGCGGTCTTCTTGGTCACCATTGGCTCTCTGGCCAGTGTACCTGTGACCGTCAACTATGTTGTGGAATGCTTCACGCGATACCCCGCCGAAGCAGGCATTGTTATCGGTGCTTACCGTATTGTTTATGGCCTTACTATCAGCTTCTATATTAATCCCTGGGTCGAAGCTGTGGATGTTGGCTGGGTTTATGGAATGATGGCGTTCTTCGCGGTCTTCTCTTACTTCTTTGTTATGCTGCTGATGTGGAAAGGACATGCTATTCGGGGAATTCAATTCTCTAGCATATCATCTAGCGAAGAGGGAGAGAAGCTTGTGGAGGAGTGAAAAGTTGTTGGATTGGTTACAAACGGCAGTTTCTATGCCTTGAAAAATATCTTAGTATTTAATTGTTATTACATAGTATTCATATAATTATTAGTGGTCCTATGAAACCTTGGATGGGTTTCAAAGTTAGGCAACTCGCCCCCGCAAAACCGCATAATTTCGAGTTTACCCACAACTGATATCCTAAAATTTCCTCACGATACAGTAGTAAAGTTTCGAGGGTCTAGTGGCTACAACGCCAATGAAAAGAATGTGGGAAGGGATAAAAATGAGACTCGTTGGAAGTCGAAAGATATTCTCTTAGTACAACTCTAATTCACCCCAGCAGACATCAATTCGGGCAGCATCTTAGAAACTTGCTCTACATCCTTGTCTCCCCTTCCACTCAGACAAATCACAAGATCTTTGTCAGGGCCAAGATCCTTGGCTATCTTCACAGCACCAGCGACGGCATGCGCGCTTTCCAGGGCAGGAATAATCCCCTCAGTTTCGCTCAAAAGTCGGAACGCATCGAGGGCTTCCTTATCATCAGCAGCTACAAAGGTAGCCCGGTCAGACTCCTTCCAACTAGACAGCTCAGGACCAACCCCAGGATAATCCAACCCAGCCGATACCGAATGTGTTGAAATGATTTGCCCGTCATCATCCTGAAGAACGTACGTCTTTACGCCGTGCAACACACCCACTGAGCCTCTAGCCAGAGTCGCTGCATGGCGACCATTTGAAGAGCCATCACCGCCGGCCTCAACGCCAACAAGCTTCACCGAGCTATCCTTCAAGAAAGGATAAAACATCCCCGCCGCATTTGACCCTCCGCCAACGCAAGCAACGACTGCATCAGGAAGCTTCCCATTCATCTCCTCCATAAACTGCGAGCGGGTCTCCTCCCCAATAACAGACTGGAAAGTGCGAACAATAGTCGGGTAGGGATGCGGTCCGAAGGCAGACCCGATAACGAAATGCGTCGTCTTGAGATCAGTAACCCAGGTTCTAAAGGCTTGATTCACCGCGTCTCGAAGCGTGCCTCCATCACCGGGATGTGCCCCAGGCACAGGAATGACCGTTGCACCGAGCAGCTTGATCCGGAATACATTCAACGCTTGCCGTTCCACGTCCTCTGCTCCCATGAAAATCGTGCACTTAAGACCGAGTAGTGCACAAAGTGTCGCGGTGGCTACTCCGTGCTGACCCGCACCCGTCTCGGCAATGATGGATGTCTTTCCAAGTCGTCGTGCGAGGAGGACCTGTCCAAGCGCATTGTTAATTTTGTGGCTGCCGGTGTGGTTCAGGTCCTCTCGCTTTAGCCAGATGCGAGCACCGCCGGCATGCTTGCTAAGACGAGAGGCTTGGTGGAGAGAGGAAGGGCGATTGGTGTATGAGGCGTAGGAGCGAATCTCTTCCCAGAAGGTTGGATCGGCGGACGCCTTATTGAAGCCGGTCTCTAGTTCGGTGAGGCATTCCATCAGGGCCTCGGGCACATATTGGCCACCGAACTGGCCGAATCGGGTGTTGTCGCCCATCGGCGCGGCATGTTTTTGTTCTCCGAGTGCGATCTCCGGTTCGATGCTCTGCTGACCTGCCGCTGAGGTGCCAGTTTTGGAGTCTTGAAGAGGTATGATGCTCCGAGGCTCTTTGCGACCTGAAACATTGAGACAGTACTCTTTGACCTTGTCAGCGCCAGTACCTTTAGGCGCTTCTTGAAGCACCTCGATGATTTTACTGCCGATGATGACTCCTTCCGCAAAATTAGCAACGTCAAGAAAGTGCTCGCGTGTGCTGATCCCAAATCCAACCGCAGCTGGTACAGAGCCTTTGGTGTAGCGGTGCACTCGGCTCAGAAGCTCCTCCAATCCGGTATCCAGCGCTCGAGCTACCCCAGTCACCCCCATCTTGGAGGCAACATAGATGAAGGAGTCAGCGATACTGCAGAGCATCGCCATACGACTGTCGGTTGTCGATGGTGAAACGAGGGGAATGTATGATAATCTGCGAAGAGGATTAGTGTCACTAGCCTCCCATCAACGTCTTGTCCTCTAACTCACTCCTCAATTTTGCACAAATTCCTGAATCGAACGGCTTCCTCGGGAGGCAGATCCACGATAATGAATCCATTCACTCCAGCTGCTCGGCAGTCTTTCAAAAACTTTGCCTCGCCGTATGCACGCACGGGGTTGTAGTACCCCATGAGTAGCACCGGGGCAGTCAATCCCAGACTGCGGGCATCTCGCACCATTTGCATCATTGTAGGGATTCGAACACCATTGACAAGTGCTTGAGCATGTGACTTCTGGATCGCTGGGCCATCGGTGAGAGGATCTGTGAAGGGAATACCGAGCTCGATGATATCTGGGAGTGACCATGTTAGCTTGCGTTGAGATAAATTTCGAAATCGTGGGGCGCACCTGAGCCTCCAGCTTGCATGGAAAGCATGATCTCAGGTGTCTCGCGAGTTGTAGGAAATCCAGCGGTGACATAGGTCACCAGGGCAGTGCGGCCCTCGGCCTTGCATGTTGTGAATACTTGCTTTATCGCTTCCATTGTGGAAGGAATGATCAAGAGGGGAGATGGTTTTGGTAAGAGTGGAAAGAGGAAAACCCTGGAATGGGAAGGAAGGGGAATTTAAATGGTAAAGAGATCATAGTGCTGCTGTCATGGTCCTCGGTCTCACATTGGTGAGTCAGAGGAAGTCTTACAAAACAAACCCCATTAACCCTAAAGAAACTAGGCCAGGGACTAAATTACAAAATCTACACCATGGATCTTTGCGAGAGCACTAATTTAGAAATAACCATAAAGTATGTAATACTAGAGAAAGGATAGCCGAAAATACTACCCGCCAAAAAAGGGGGGGATAGAAACAAGAAATATTGAAGCTTCCGATTTGAGGTTGCCCCATGCCAAATACTATTCGGGAATTCCGAAACCCCATAAAATATCCAGCTTCAATTGACCAATTATTCCCCATAAGTTCCGAAAAAGTAATTGAAAAAAGACAGTCAAGCCAACTTGACTCCGGAATGTCGAAATGAAAAAAAAAAGAGAGATAAAACGAGTCGAATGAGTCAGATTAATCTAGGCCATCTCTTGCAAGAATCGCTCGGGTAAGTTCCCATGCAGGCCGATCGGACTTCCTTGAACCAGAACTTCCAATTTTCTCGTCAATTATTTTATACTGATGTCTACTAATGTTAAAATAAACAATTTTTCTCGATTTCTCAAGGATGTTTCGCCAACCATGTTCAATCGTCAATTTTGAGAGCAGACAGAAATAATGACTCATATCAACCAATGAAACCTGGAGGTTTCGAATGTCCGACATTCCACGGCAGCCAATTTACAGATATACGCGTTTGTATAAATTTAAATCTCTTTTCGTAGCACGATGCAAGTACTGAGCTGAGCGTCGATTTTGATGACTTAGTGGCATGCCGTCAAAAGAAGCGCGTGGCCGAAAAAGTCGCTGATGTCGCTGCTGGTAAAAATGCCGAAAGACGTGTACAGGTTACACGGTGGCTTCTTCATGATGATCACTTACAGACTGAAGATATACCCCTTGCAGTGCGGCCTTTGCCAAGTGATGTCGTTGGCAAGTATCTCAGCCTCCACCGGCAAGGTCAACCAAACGGGAAACCTTCGACATGATGTTTCTTTTTTTGAAGATAACAAGCTTCATCCAGCTTCAATACAGGTTCCAACTTTGGAATCTATGGAAAATAAAAGGGGAAATGACTAAATTATTAGCCATGAAAGATCTTTTTTCATGCCCATTGGCATAGAATCATTGTTGATATACAACAAAAATCTGACAGAATCAGGAGTATTTCTTAATTCTTGTCTATGCACGTATTACGGCTCGGCTATAAGGTATTATAGGGCAGATTAAACCTGGAATCCGGGGTTGGAAGCCAACTCTCGAGGTTGATTCGTCTCTCGCATGCATGCTGCCGCTCAGATCGTCCACACTCTGCAGCTAAGTCTTGCCAAGGTCCACATCCACTTCCAGTTGAATCTTTCAGCCTAATCTAGTCAGTTCTAAGGTATCCTTCCACACCCGGGCGGTTTATGGACTATCTGTTAGACTGTATGTAAATGCGTATATGCCCTACTCCTTCATGCAATGTTGTAGGTACGATCTATTCTTCCCTGGTCATCCGTTGTAAACTTCGAATGCCTGAGTGGTATGGTACTTGCAGGGGCATCTAGGGGAACGATGCAGCAGCTGTATACAAATCTATAGTATAATAGACAATGTATCGGTTACAATTGGGAAAAGAGTCCATCCTGTCACGTAGCTCCGAATGGTCTAGGGGTCTTGGCCCTACCCGTTTGGGGGGAAGAGTGGTTAGGTTGATTAATGAAACGCTAGTAGCTGCCTTGAACCACCTTTTTGCCAATTTTGTTTTTTTGTCCAGGTCAGAAGATCGATTCCAGGACTCAGCATCTTTCTTTTTTTTGTTTTGGTTTTGTTTGCTGTTGGTTGTGGTTGCCTTCAGTGAATCGGGCCTCCCACTTCCACTTGATCCTTAGCTAGTTAGCGTGAACCCCCCCCTGCGGCTATTGTGAGGGGATTGGTCTGATTGCGATTAAGGCTTGGCTGTCACAAGATAATAGTAGTGGTGTGATTCTACAGATAGCCGAAACTGAAGGGGTCAGGTGGGAGAGGGCTCTTACATTCTATTGGTCTCATCGTCTGTATACCCTTTTGGACCATAAATCCGGGTGGAGACACTGGATGGTGATTAGTACTTATTACTAGTAGTATATGTGCTGAGGACCTCGGGAGGGCTCAGGAAACACTGCCAGTGAAGACATCTTATTCATGGGTCGATCATCGCTCAGCCGTGCTCCAGCTTGAACGCCCTCCCGAGGTCCAGGGCTACACATTCATGGATTGCATGCAAAACGAAAGTGAGCTAGGTGGAAAGGGACCATTCTGCTACTGCAGTTTGTTTGCTGGTACCTAGATATCTATGTGAAAAAACACAAGAGGACTATATGTCCAGATCAGACCTTGGATATTCTACTCTGACCGTAACCATCTTGGAAATTGAAGATAGAGAAGGGCAGTAGTACTATAGAACAAAGTCACACTCCCTATGTATTCAAGCTGCTCAGTCCTGGCCCGAATAGTATTCTTCTGCACTTTGAACATTACTCATCAAGTCATCCAACGGATCTGAACTGTCAATATCAACTCACTGCCACCATCGAATTGCCCAAGCAGGCAGGCGCCGTTGAGCTTCAAGTTCTCCTGAGCCTGAGCACAAATCCAATGGACCCTCCAAGACCACCAGCTTACGAGTTGCTCATGGATTCGAGGTCTACAAAAGAAATTTTACAGAAAAAAGGATATAAGGAAGAAAAAGAGGCCAACCAGCCCGGAAAATAAATTCCTCAGAGCGTAACGCCGTAGCTCGTCATAATCACATTCCACGACACACAAGAGGTCGGGATCCCAACCCGACAAAATGGAAACCATAAACCTCAAGAGAAACCACTTAGAAGACGAGAGAGAAAAAAAAAAAAAAAAAAAAAGGCTTGTCGGGACAAATCAAAGGGTAGCGCACGCTCGAAACAGCAATCGATGTCGGCTCATACGGACAAAACCAAAACAAAGCTTGAAAGGCAAATCCAAAAGTCAAGGGAAGGGAAAGCAAAGCAAAAGGTTTTTGGAAAGACGGACAACAGCGATGTGGGAGGGAAAATATACGCGAGGATTTTTCCTTGTCGCCGGTTCAACCCGACCAACCCAGCCAGGTACCGTTGGTACTAGACAAGGGAGCGAAATCATTCAAATCAAATCAGGAACAAACAGCAAAAATAAGCCAGATCCAGAGAGATAAGACAGGGATAAAACGGGCCGGGATAAGAAGGCGGCCATAGCTGCGCCGAAACGAGACAGAGATAAAAGCAATAATCGGCTGGAAATTGCAAGGAAAACAGAGCAAGAAGCAAGGTGATGAGGATCAGAGTCGAAGGTGGACGATATAAATTAATCAAGACAGTACCATAGGTAATAAGTAGAGCTATGGTAAGTTCTTGCTAATTTGATAGAGGCGGTTGATGTATTCACTCCATCTCCTTCTCCACTCGGGGCGAGCCGAGCTGAGAAAAGGCAGGATGAGAGAAAACAGAAGTTCAATCGGCTCCGGCGATCATCACCCTGATTCCTGATGATTTTTTGTGCGTTGACTGAGAAGAGCTGAGCTGCTCAAGCCATATCAAAACAGAGCAGGGCAGGATGTTACACTGAAAAGTACTGCACCCTGCCCTGTCATACATCCTCTCCGTGTCGCCAGCGAATTCGTGGAAGATAGTCGTACATACGTGAGACGTAAGGACGGAAAGTCGTAAAAATAAGAATAATAGTACAGACAAATAGAAATGCCAGCGTCAATTTCTCACTCCTGCAATGCGCCTGGGAAATGCCGGGAACAAGGCCGCAGCATTTACCGAGTGAATTGCGTCCAGACCGTACTTAGCCAGCCAATAGGGATTCCCACTTCGGATGGTGCGTTGAGAGAGATCTGGGACCATTCGCAGCCATCCAAGAAAGCGAGGACATCATCGCCAGCTAGGCTGGTTGATAGCATGCTTGAGTCCGGTCCATCGGTGGAGGTGAGAGGTGGCGATGGCGCGAGCTGAGCGACTGGGGGTGGAGGTGGTAGGACAGCCAGACTGTGTGGGGAAGCAGATGTGGCGTTGATAGGGGGTAAAGACTGGGAGTATGGAGGAGGCGGTACGGATGGGCGGGAGGGGAGCCAGGCATTGATGGGTTGGAGACGGTTGCCGGATGTGGCAGTGATGTATTGGGATGGCGATTGGGTGGTTGCTGCGATGGAGGGAAGGTTCGGGGGGGAAGAGGTGTACATGGGTCCGTCTGGGTGGTGTTGTTGGAGGGATGGGAGGGAGTAAGGGGATTGTGAAGGCATGGGACGGCTGTTGGGCAAAGGAAGGCTGGGTCGACGGTCTCCTTCATGGCCTGGTGGAGGAAAGCCGGGGCTGTTGACTGGGACCCAGGATTCGCGACGACCACCGGCTCCATCTAGGGGCTGGTCGCTCATATCGCCTAGTTCGCTCTTGACAGCGTTGCTTCCTGCATCACTGAGATTGGTGGAGCGCTCTTGCATCATTGGCTCTCCGGCCATGCCAATAGCAGTGCCATCGTCGTCGACTCCATGCTCATTAAGTTGATCTTCGATCGATCCAAAATCAAGGAAGAGCTTCTCGAGAAGTTTGAACTCCTCTAAACCACCTCCGAGGCCGCCATCGCGAACCGGTCGCACCCCGTTGGACATGGCATGGTCCGATGCATCAGACATGCTGTCCAGTCGAATGCGCGAATAGCGACGGAAGTCACGCTTGACTTTGGAGAAGTAGCTGTGGAGGCGATTCAAGGTGCGGAACCATCCCACGGCCATCCGCAATCGGGGCCGCGTCTCCCGGAGTATGTCGAGAGCCTTGCGCACCTGTGTAGCACCGGGTTGGGGGCTATCGTGACTTGCGGGAGGAGCCTTCGGCCCCATCAGGCCCTCTATGTCCATGTGAGGGAAGTGCGTACCATATACACCGATGAAAGCAGCGTTGTAGATAGCAAAGCCCACAAGTGGGTTCTCCACTAGAGCGCCACGTCCTTGACAGGTAGCCACCAGATCAATCATCTGACGCGCGGCCTTGAACAATTCACGGGAGCTGTCGCGCCAAAACCCATCGGGAGGGCCATTTACCTTATCCGAAGGGAACAAGGGCTCGTCGAGAGGACCGGATGGCTCATTGCAGCGAAGAGGCAAGAAGGGAATATATGTGCGGTGAAGCACAATGACAGACAGGAAGTATACAACGTGCATAACGGTATATGGCGCCAGCGTAGTCTTATACATGATGTGAGTGTCGGTATTTCGCAGGGAATACTGCAGGTTTCGGGAAAGGCTGTCCTGGAATTCATTCAATTGCATCCGGAGCGAGGCGAATCGCGATTCCGGGTGCCATGGGGGATATTGCTCGTTTCGTCGACCTCCAGCGCAAGACCACTTGGCGATGCTGCCCCAGATGCGAATGATACGGATCACTCGGCTGAGGACCGATTCCTCGGCACCAACCTCCCATCGATCCACATCGTCCTCAGTTGAGTCCTTGCGGCGTGAAATGGGCGACCACGCCTTGGGGTCTGAGGCTCCGTTAGTAGGAGGAAGCTTCTCATCGTTAAAGCCCCCAATGCTTTGGCGGATGCTTGGAATCTGAACCCCTTGTGCACCAAAGCTTGGTGGTCGGCGAGCCGTCGGCTCATTGAGTCGGGCCGTTCGTACCCGCTCGCCGAAGGCAAATGCATTATCGCTCGGCAATTGAATTCCGAGCTCTTTGACCCGAATCATGCGTGGGCGATATTTTCCGCTACTTAGACAGCGGTCCAGAGTAAAACAGGCCCAGAAGGTTCGGCGCTTGGTTTCTTGAGCAATGATATCATCTGAGGTCGCTTCTTTAGCCTCTGATCGGCGACGCATACCAAAGTGATCTGCCTCTGTCTTGAAGCCGGGAGAACAGCGGGACATATCACGCGGGGGGAACTCATTCTCCAATTCAAAGGGCAGGCCCATAGCTTGGGCCAGACGAATGGCCATTCCAACATAGACCCAGGCGCTCTTGCCGCGACACATGCCCCACTCATGCAGGGCCAGCATTAGCAGCGCTTGGACGCGTGCAAGATCGGGCATGGCCAGGCTAGCTCCATCCAGACCGGCCAGCCGGCTGCGGAGCGCTGTTGCATAGTATTCGGATGCCGCGACGGGGTTCGAAGTATGGCCGGGGGATGCCGGGGAGTGGTAGGCGACCAGCGGCGGGTGGAAGCGGGCCGTCAGAGCCAAAACACCTAACGGAATCAGAGAAGAAGAGGAGTCTGTCTTCAGACCTGTAGTATTTCGCGCAGCATCAATCCCATCGATAGGTATAGGTGGTGGAGCGGGTGTAGAGAGTTGGCGAATCTGGCCGAGGAACGTCGCGGGATGTAGGAAGGGAAGAAGAGTCGCAAAGTGAGATTGGAAGAGATCGAAGACGGATTCCCAGACCTTAGTGGTCAAGACGGAGGCATCGAGGGCGTCGAGACCGGCTTTGGAGCCAGCGGAGGCGCCCGACAAACCGGTTAGTTTGCGCGAGCGCTGGCGTTTCGGCCCATCCCAGTCACCATTCCGATCGTCGCCGTCGGCCAGGGCAGCCAAGTCGCGCTTTGCGCCGCTCACACCAATAGCGGGGGGGGTAAACACATTCTCGACCGGAGGATTCGCAGGCGCGGCAGGTGGTGTCGATGCCGGCATTGACGCACTTGATCTTACTGCGCCGGCAACGAGCGCAAGCGATGCTGGATCGCATGGTGAATTGAGCAGACCCAAGGTCTGCGGAAGTATCAACTTCAAATAGCGAGGATCAGGATCGGTATCCCATGGGCTGCATATAGGTGTGAGGTGTAGTTGAAGAGAGTAGGTGAGAATGGAAAGTGGGCGGGTGGTGGTGGTTCGGGAGTATGTGACACTTTCCGGCCGGGCTGGGGGAGAGTGTCAGGCGGCAATGGGAGAATCGAAGAATGGGTGGAATGGAGGGAATGAGAATCTCGGCTTTGCGAAACACCGCGTCAGCATTGCATATGCCGAGTGCACCACAACAGGACTCACCGATGGGTTCTCGTTGTTGGCTGCTATTGCAGTAAGTTGGCAGGGAGGGTTGGACAAGAGGGAAGATGCCGAAAGGGGAGGAAAATGGGGGAAGGGGGGGGAAGTTCGAGTCAAATAGGATGTAGTAAAGAACCAGAACCGAAAAGACCCTAAAAGAGACCAAGTGTGAAAGCCGAGAATAAAGTCGAAGCGGAGTGTGGGGGAGAAGGAAAGTAAAAAGTCGGGGCCGTCGGCAGGAGGACCAGTGACCAAAAGTCGGGAGGGAACGGGGAAGTCGAGAACATCCACTGGGGAATGGGGGGGAAAAATAAATAAAAAATAAAATAAAATAAAATAAAAAAGGATAAAAAAAGAGACAGCCGAGAGCCGCTGGGGAACTGAGCATTGGAAATTGAAATTGCGGAGGTCCCTCTGCAAGGACGCGATTCGTGGAGAGTGGAGCCCCGGTTTGTGGAGGTGGAGAGTACATAGTGTGGTATAGGGTAGGGTAGTATAGCATAGGTGAAGGTATAGGATAACATAGAAGGTATACAGATACTCTATACTAGTATACGGTATACTGTGATACCTGGTACCTTAAGAACTATACTGCATCATGATATACTATACTATACTATCCTAAACTTTACTAGTATATCAATATCCGAGTCCCCTCTATAACATCACCTCACCACCACCACAGGCTGCTTTAGTACCCTGGACCTATCTAACCCCGGGCGTTACCTACTACTCCCACTCCCACTGATCTCATGATCGTCCACCCGATTCTCGCCTCTCTCTCGCCGACCGAAGCACCGGAACAGCAACCAGCCGTGTGGAACATTCCATGTCGTACCCAGCCCGGTTCAGGAGTCCGAATTGCAATCTCTCTTTCTATTCAACAGAGTATGTATGTACTCTCCGTAGAGACCGTATGCCGTCTGCCACTGGCACTCATCCTCCTAGGTCGCCCCGGCGTCGGCGGGTTTTCTGTCTTCACCCACTGGCAAACCCTGACACGGCTGATGATGCCCGATCGGCAATTGTGCTGGATCGGATTCTCACGCGGACCCAAAGAAGCCACCGTCTCCATAATTCTTTCTTTTTTTTCTCTTTTCTCTCTCTCTTTTTTCCTTTTTCCCCGTCACCGCGCCCCCATTTCCCGGTCGGGAACTCCTGAACAGGAAAGCGGGACGACCGGAGAATCGGAGAGTACTCCATACCTTGTGTCCATTTTTGACCTTACCCTGTACTTTTTTTCTTTTTCCCTTCTTTTTTATTAAGTATTTCCACTCCACTCCTGCAACGGCAGCTCTCTTTCCTCCTGAGGAGGCTATACCCGCCAGGCTCGGTAGGGCTATGCTAAAAACCCACATGGATCAGGTTCGGGTCCAGGTCTGTTTCTCTCTGGGTCCAGTGAGGGGAAGCTTCTCGGGATTGGATCGGATTGGAGATGGAGTCCAAAGAGACCGTGACAGCGGTGATGTGTCCGTGATCCTACCCATCACGGGTAATCTATGTACTCCGTATGTCCTCTGAGAATCCGTGATCCCTCGGGTATTCCATTCCGCACCATCCACCATCTACCACCCCCGGACTCTCTCTCTCCCCGGCGCCGAGTGGACAAAAATGAGAATGGGAAGTTTTAATTTTAATTTTAATTTTAATCTTTTTTTTTCTTCAAAACGAAATCCGCAAGGGGGGGGAGACGAGGAAGAGGCGGCCAATCAATGCCGGTCCCTGGTCCCCCGGACCTCCCCGCGGGGAGAGCACCGCGATCCGCGAATTGATCCTCGTTCCTCTTCTCCGGGAAGTTACATTCAACTGTGCTGTAAGTCGCTACCTCTTTCTCCATTGTGTGGCGGCCAGGATCGACCATGACGGGTTGGAGAGGAGGCAGAGTTCGACCGGACTGGACTGGACCGGGTTGGACCTAAACACTGAACCGAACTGATCTAAACTTGGGGGCGGCGGTCGCCGTGTCACGGTTGCTTGTCCGTGCTGCCCTTGGCTCTCTCTCTCTCTCCCTCTCTCTGCTTCCCCCTCCCCCTTGCCACACTCCCTCGGGAAGATTGGTTGCTCGGTAGTCCAACGGAATACGACCGATGCATCACGGAGCTGGCTCAGTGCATCGTGACATAACTATGATGGGTGGCTGCAGACAAGCCGAGGCCGACTGCATCGGCGATCCGAGGCATCTGGCACTGTACTGGCACTGGCACTGGTATAGTAATGTCTGTACTTGGAGTAATGGAGGACAGTAGGTGTTGATGATTTCCCTTGTCTCATGTTAGCCCATCATTGTTATTGCTGTTGTAGCACCCTTATATCTTGCACCCAACCCCAACACCAACCCTAGAATACCAATACCAGCGGCTCCTAGTTTTCCCAGGGTACGGGAAAGTCATACACCGAGTGCCCCGACCCGTAGACTCTCGGCCCCGTCCGGCTGAAGATATGATTGGTCCCCAGCCTCCGAAGGCGCCAGCGAACCGACCCCGGCCAACCCCGCATTTGTTCAATTCACATTAGGTAAGTCGGTTATGGGCCGATCTGAGTATCCTAGTACCTAGGTACCCTTGAGTACTGGGTGTAGGTGAGCTGAGGTAGCGGTGTAGATATCGGTGATATGATGATGGTTTACTCTGTACTGCAGAGTATACCTGCACTTCACACTCACTTTCCACTTTCCACAACTCTAGAATAGTACTTCGTACTACACTTTGTCATGTCCCGGGAATTCCTTTTGCCTCGTGTCAGAGTGGGCCCCTTGACTTTTCCCCGGTGGATATCCGACCAGGCACGAAAAAGAAAATGCAAATCCGAAAGGATGAAAACGCCCTGTGGATCCAACGAGCTTAAAAGGGAAATTCAAGCAGCCATTGCCAACGGATTACGGAGTAATAATAATCGCCATCACCATCGGAATCATTACAGTTCCCCAGTGGTGCGCCATAGTTCGAAATCACCTCGCCTAGCAGCGGTAGTACCTACCCTATGAATACTGGATATGGTAACCATGCCATCTTATGTCCTATCATCCTTCCGATTCGGTCTCGTCTCGTCTCGTCTCGGGGACGTGCACCGTCAAGCCGTTTCGATTCTTCCGTTCCTTTCTTGGCTGGGGTCACTCAGCTGACCCTTCAGTGCCCATAGTCTACCCGAGCCTATGACATCGGGTCTCTTATGACGACTTCACGGAACAGAGTCGGGGAAAAAAAGCAAAAAAGAAGGCAATCCTGTTCAATCCAGGCAAAACCCCATGGAAAGCAAAATAGTAATAAAATAATAAAATAATACGATCGCCTGCTGATTACCCGAATCCTTCAAAACCCAACGACCCCTGACTTGGCCTGATTCCAGCTCGTCCCAATCTCGCTCTGCTTTCCGAGCGATCCAGACCTGTCCTCCAATGAACAATGATCCATTATGTACGCCCACTGGCACCCGGACACCCTTTCGCCTGGTCATACATATACTACGTACACTGGCATAGGCAAGGTATTCCAACTTTCAAGAAAAAAAGAACCTTGACATATTCATCTTAATACTCCACTCCACCATTCTTCCTTCCTTCATCAATTACTTCATATTCCCTCTTCATTTCCCTCGGCTTCACCCGATCAAACGGGCATCCCGTGCCGCGCTCCGGACTACCGAATCGGTCGGCGCAAATTGACCCGAATAGGAACTATTTCGAGCTCCTCCCAGCGCCCCTCCCCAGAAAGCCTCAAGGGAGGAGCCGATGTGAATTCTTCCGTCCATTCCCTTCAAGTTTCTCCGTTTCTCCCCCGGCGATCCGTACTCCGTAAATTGTACTGATATTCGTACGTACATTAGTCGACCCTGACACCTTGCTCCGTACTTTGTGCATAGTTTAACCGATCGGATCATCCCCGACACACGGAGCCGGTCCCCGACCGAGCACCTGGGCAGGACAGAGCAGACAGAGCAGAGCCAAACTATAGGTACGGAGTACTCGTAGACCGGACCCAGAAAGAACTCAAGACAAGTCAAAATGAGCCAAGCAAAGGAAGCCGCGCCAAGCCTTCCTTCTCTTCCAATTCCACTCTAGTCTTACTTTCATATCCGTGTTTACTCTCGGCTTGATCTCCTTGTTCGGTTTGAGGTTGGAGTTTAATTTTTCGGATTTCATTTTCTTTGCCCTTGGATTTAGATTTGATTTGGGTTTGGGTTTGGGTTTGGGTTAGGCTTGGGGTTTGGCGTTGTCCTGCACCCCGCCTTCCTCTCATCTCATCTCATCTCATCTCGTCTTGCTTAAGCAGAAGCTGAACCCCTGTTCAAATCCAAGGGAGTTATTATGCAGTAGGTACGGGGTAGATTAGTAAAGGGAAGGAGAACCTCGAGAGGTACATACATAACCTTAGGTAGCCGAATACACACGACCACCATCCACACAATCCAAGTCAAAAAAAGGCAATCTAAAAAATAGAGAAAAAAAAAAGCATCCCACATCAATTCCACATCAGACCCTGCCACCCCCATGCCCATGCCGTTGCAACATGCTCACCCCCATCCTTCATGACAATGTTCCAACGTATCCATAATGTCCAAAACGGCAATCATTCCTTCGGAAACAAGATTCCACCCCACATCGGTTCGGGTAAAAGAAAAAAAATCTGCTGCATGGACGTGGGATCCCGACC